GAAGACAAAGGGGGGAAAAATTAAACGCACTAGAAGGAAGAATGGAGGAACGAATGGCGGCAATGGATGGACGAAAGGCGGAGATGGAGTCGTCAAGGGAGGAAATGAAAGTGAAAACGGCGGCAATTCGACAAGACTCGACAGCCACACGCCAGGATCTTCAAGAAGTGAGGCGATTACCGGGGGGACGACACCGCATTCAAGGGGAACTGTATGACGACAGTCAGGCGCCTGTGAACACCAGTAGGAGTACGAGACGCAAGGACGAAATTGGGGGTGGAGAAGGTGAGCGGTTCAATTGGAGGAAGAGGGTGGAGTTACCCGTGTTCAAAGGATTAGATCCATTGAACTGGATCAATTGGGCGGAGCGATTCTTCGAATTTCAAGGAGTAGCAGAAGAGGAGAAGGTACGATTAGCTTATGTGAGCATGGAGGGGAGCGCTGGCTACTGGTTCAAAGCTTGGAAGGAGAAAGCCAAGTATCGTTCATGGGATGATTTGAAGGAAGCCCTGGTGATAAGATTTGGAACCATTGTTGAGCAGTTGACAACATTGAGACAGACGGGGACGGTGGACGAGTATGTACAATACTTCAAGGATTTGTTTATTGGTTGTATCTTGGTTGTATTACTAGTATTGAATTTGATAGGTTCAAGGGAAATGTTTATATTAGGAGAAATAAAAGGGACAGACAGTATCTGTGGGTAAGTTTTATTGTCTCAAACTTTTATAAAGTTTGTGTAGGCAGTTGTTTTTAACAGTTTCTTATCTAGTTTTTGGAAGTTCTGTAAATCTAGGGAAGTGGAGAGTCTGGTTCTCTCGAATAACCAGAAGTTGTATGTTTGTTTCAGTTTTTATATTTGGAGAAAATCTAGTGTATTGTTGGAATGAAAATATACTGTTTTAAGGTTGTTTCGTATAGGACTTTAATTACGGAAGACAAAAAAATCCGCTAACACGGGTATCCGCGGGTAAAATCTGTGACGGGTAGTTACTATCCGCGGATATTTACTACCCACGAGTAACTGGTAGCGGGTATTTTAATACCTGCATCTAAGTGGGTCGGGTACGGGTAGTATACTACCCACCCGCGGGTACCAGTTACCTGCAAAAATAATTTCTATATATTTTAATTAAATTTAATTAAAAATAAAATAAAATTATATTTTATTAGGTTAAATTTAATTAAAATTAAATTTTATTTTATATTTAATTTAATTTATATTATATTATATATATAATTTTTGCAATTTTATTTAAATTTCACCTTGAGGATAAGGTGCACCTTCATGGAGGAGACGTTGATAGGTTTGATACAGTTTACAAAATAAGGAAAAAAGGTCGTTTAGTTGAAAACACCTCTCACCTATTGAAAACCACTAGGAAGATGCTATTACCATCAATAAGGAGTTTCTTGCTTTTCACCTCGAGGACAAGGTGAAACTTCATGGAGGGGGTATTGATAGGTTCAAGGGAAATGTTTATATTAGGAGAAATAAAAGGGTAGGTTTTATTGTCTCAGACTTTTATAAAGTCTGTGTAGGCAGTTGTTTTTAGTAGTTTTTCATTGTTTTTGTACATTCTGAAAAGAATAGGAAGAGTGGAGAGTCTGGTTCTCTCGAATAACCAGAAATTGTGTGTTTTATTTCTCCACATTGGAGGAAACCTAGTATGTTGTTGGAATAAAGATCTGCAGTTTCTAAAACATCTCATTATAGGTCTTGATAGGATACGGTTATTCTAGGGAAATATTTTATTCTAGGAAAATATTTTATTTAGGAAATAATTAATATAAATAAAGGGAGAGTCTATGGTTAAAGGTATGTTTTTGATTATTAAGTTGTTGACAGGCGGCTACCGTCTTGTGAGGAAGGTTATGCTCTCAAAGTAATTGAAGGAGGTTATGCTCCCAATTATTGTTTACTTTTGTTTATTCAACTATTACCATCAATTAAAGAGATTCATTTGTTCATTATCATTCATTCTTTAGCTTTATTGCCTATTGTGTTCGTGGATCCTTACGAATCAACCTCAGGTACGTAACAGGTCTGAAAACCTATCAGAATTCCACAATCTCAAGGGTTTGTTTCCCAGAATAGGTTGTGCTTGTTTCCTAAATTATCCAATCAATGTAAATGATATAGATTTGAAAGACTCACTCCCTGATACGTACCCAGGTGTTATGGAAGTCAATGAACCCTTAATAAAAATAGGTGGGGAAGAGTTTATAAGAGGAGAGAAAAGGGTAACGTGGCTTCGTGAGTGGAATGTGTTAGTTAGAAGAGAGAAAAAAAGATTATGGGTTGTTATATATTCTGAGGTGTAGGATGTGAGGGGGGACACGTTTTTGTTTTTGGTGAATTGGGAGGGGAAGAATTATTACTATTCTTCTCAGGAGCTTGGTTGTGGGCAGAGGGTCCTGGAACCTTCTGAGTTTTCTGTTTTAACATAATAGTGAATTTGCACCACTCCATTTTCTATCATTCATATATTCGATTATTCCGTTTATTAGAAAAATCTGATTTCTAACACTCTGCCTTTAAGCCGACACATTTTAAAAGATTTAGATTCATGAAAAATGACATCCATAGAGTTAAAAAACTTTACTGACTATGAAGATTGACAAACACAATACATCTCAATACCCGCCTATGAAGGCTAGAGAGAAAATGAATAGATGGAAAAATGAAAGATAGAGATCCAATAGGACTAAGTCCATCTAGAAACCAAGAGGATAATCTGTTGATAAGATAGACAATAGTTGGGACAATCTCTTCCTAATAAGATTTAGAAACAGACATTTGAAAGACAAGATCTGTTAGTTCAAGAAGTTGTTTATTTTTTCTTTTAATAATGTTATTTTGTTATTTTGTTATTTTGTTATTGTGTACCCACACATTAGCTCAGAAACAATACCATTTTCAGAAAGGAATTTAGACGTGTCATGCTGTGCATATTTCCTCCCATTATCAAAATGTAAAAGTTTATTTGACTTTCCAAATTGTGTTTATAATGCGGACGAATTATAAACATTCAATTTGAAATCATGTCTGCTCTTGCAAATTCATGGTGATTCTTCCATCAATTATATGTTTTTAGTCTTCAAAATTGTTTTCCAAATAATGTATATTTTGAACCAACAAAACATATTTCAGGTGGAGGACAATGCTTTATATTGCTAGCATCCCAGGTATTCTGGTTGCTATCGGTATGCAGTTTACCGTTGATAGTCCACGGTGGCTTTGCAAGGTAGTAGCTTATTATTTAATTGATTGGTAAATATAATGTTACACTTTATACAGTTTTTTACATTTCTTCTTAGGCTGGGAGAATAAATGATGCTAAAACAATAATACGTGAGCTTTGGGGGGAGTCCAAAATTGATAGCGCAATTGAGGAATTTCAATCAGTCTGCAACAATGATGGTTGCGATTCGGATAGCAGATGGTCAGAGATCTTGGAGGAGCCACATTCTAGAGGTTGTGTAGAGGTGGTTTTGGCTATTACTATTAGATACTAGGCAGCATTCACCGCTTGGAAAATTATTCTTTACCTTGTCCAAGTAGCGTAATTGATTGATTAACAAGTCAAGCACTTAAAAGTAACAATTACAATTGAAGAGGGGAATGAATTTAGCTCCATAAAACAGAACTTTTTCCTTTTATAAACAAGTACATGTTTATCATCATTACTTATGCATGCTACTTGAAACTTGGATGTATAAAATTTGCTGTGGGTTTTCTTGTATGATTGCAGTTGCCTTTATTGGAGGTGCGCTTTTTGTACTGCAGCAGTTTGCAGGCATTAATGGAGTTCTTTATTTTTCATCGTTGACCTTTCAAGAAGTTGGAGTTGAAAGTAGTGCTGTAGCAAGCTTGTTTGTTGGGCTTACTAATTTTGCCGGTTTGCACTCTTCTCCACTTATCATATTTATGAATATAAATTTCTTCTGGAAATCTGATTCTGATTTCTCTTATCTTTTTTTCTCTTCAGGTGCAGTTTGTGCATTATACTTAATTGATAGGGAAGGGAGACAGAAACTTCTAATAGGAAGCTACCTAGGAATGGTGAGTGTTTACAGGATTTTCATAACTTCATGAGTTGTAATCATCTGTGAACAAAAGAAGAAACCTGTTACAAACTAAGAATCAAGAATATGAAAGAAGAGATGAATTTTATTCAATAAATATGGTTCTGAGAGAAAATTCTCCTCCAAGTGTTTCCCCTTCAATTCTTGTAAGTTCGACAGATGATGATTAGCCCCTTACCATTACCCACTTATAGAAGGAGGCCCTGTGAGCCCACAATAAATAATAAAGGTCTAATAGTGCACAAGAGAAAGAAGGGAAACAATTTGGTTGAGGAGGAGAAAACTTACAATGACAACAGGTGGCAATGAGGATTGGAGGAAGGTGAAACTAAGAGAAATTAAGGGAATATTCATACAGAGGAGCACTACTGAAAGTTAATATGGCAATGAGTCGAGGGACTTTCTTGTTAGTTAGGCAAATAAAATGTTAGGAAAGAATTTAGGAACATCTAAAATGGAAAAATACTCTATAGGTTTACTATAGAAAGAAAAAAAGGGGAAAGGTTCAAATTGTAAATAATAGTTGACTGGGTCAAGAGGTTAGTTATTTTCGTTAAGTAGGACTTCTTTCTCTTTAGTGAGTGGGGATTGGTGTGATTTTTTGTTTTAATAATTTTCCATTGAGAAAGGGAGAGTGCTTGTTTAGGGGTATATTTTGTATACCTTTGTTGAAACAGTGTGGTTGATAATCAATACAGAAGTTGCACAACTTTTTACTCTCTTGTTGTGTCATTGTGCTGTTCTTTGTTAGGATTCTATTATCTTTTTCTTTTTGTTTCAAGATATTCCTAACATAAAATGTGATGGTGGAGATAGTTGCTCCTTTTGTTTCTGTTATTCAAATTTTCTGAGTGTATCTTCTACTCTCTACTCTGATCTCTCCTCGTCAGTAAGAGATGTAAAGATGATCTGTTTAATCATTAAAATGGGGTTATGATTACAAGTTCCTATCACAGGCACACACTGAACTCTTCCATATATTTCTCCAAAGAGTCTATATTTTCTCTGAAGACTATTACAGATGACTTTGACTTGTGTATCTTTGTAGGCAATTTCAATGTTTCTTGTGTCCTCTGCTATCTTCTGTCCATTGGACGAGCAACTCAGCAACAACTTATCAATACTGGGAACTATTTTGTGAGCATTTACTTGTCATTGCTAAACCTAGCTTTTCTATCCACAATAAAACTTAGACAACAATTACTTGATGCTTGTTCAAATTTATTTGCTTCTTTCTCTATTTTTCTATCTTGAAATACTTATTTTTCATATTCATTGATTAATAGTGTAAGAATGAGGCTATAAATAGGTATGTTAAACTATCGTGTGATTGAGAGACAACACAGTTGCTTTATCTCTACTCAGAAAACAAATCAATACAATAAACAAAGGAGATATGAATTAATTTTATTCCATTTTGTTGATCTCTTTCCTGTTTCTAGATTTGGGTTTTATTTGAGCAAATAAGATGGATAAAAAATAGTGTATTCAACCTACACTGTTGTGCTTTTTATTGATATATATATATATATATATATTTATATAACCCTACTAGGCCGCAAATTCTTGGGAAGGAAAGAATTCCTTCTCTTTCTGAAGTCTTGTTTATTGTCCGAGGTGAGGAGGCTTGTCGAATGGTCATGATGAATGAGCCCTCCATTGAAGGAATGCCATGTTCTCCAGACAGCCTTCCAAATCTAGGACTTCAAATCTTGCAAATACGAAACTACTTAAAAGGTAAGGAAGAGCATTGGAGCTCTCATTGTAAGAAATTTGGCCACACCAAGGACACTTGCTTCAATGGTCTAGCAGAACTAAAAGGACAGCCCTCAAGGAAAGCTTATCAGGCATCTTCTGAAAATCTTGGCAAAAACACCTTCTTCCTCTTCACTTGAGCAAGGAATACCTAAATTACTTGCCAAAGTTGAACGTCTAAAATCTCCTATGGAGTCTATAAGTAAGTCACCTTGTCGTACTAACCATGACTACTAAGAACTCTAATTCTTTTTTAATTTTTCTAAAACTTTATGTAAGGACTCTTGGGTTCTAGACTGTGGTGCAACAGACCATATGACCCCTCATTCATCTCTTTTAAAATCATATATTTCTCGGTTTAATAACAACATAACTGTTGCCAATGGGACTCGTATCCCAATAAGTGGTCGTGTTTGCCACACTTAAAACACTCCACTCCTGACCGATCTCCTCGACCTTTCCCTTGTCCTCGATCATGTCAATTCTGTTTATCGGTTTGTTGTTCACTATCATTCTCAAAATTACCTCAGCCACGTCCACCTCATCCTCAGCTTCCTCGTCATCTGCCTCCTCGTCCTCGGCTCTGAGTAATCCAAGTTTCATTCGAGTCTATGAGAAATAGAGAAGATTGGGAGAGAATATCCCCTTGTGTTAAATACACACATAGGGTTATCTATTTATAATA